ATATCTACAAGAAACCATGAGTTTACACTGATATCTCTAATTCCGTCCCAAAATGAAAGAGTTTATTCAAATAAACTCCCTTTTCATTATCTGTAACTTCTTTCTGCAAGATTTGCTCAAGTGAAAATCTTGGCTGTCATTGTCATTAATGCATTTGCTTAATTGATCAGTCTCCCTCCTTAAACCAATCTCTTGATATCATCACCTACACCTCCATGGCAGACAACTCTTCATGCACATACCCGCACATCCTGCTCCAGCTCTGTTACTCCTTCTGTGGCCATCGCCTCCTTTGAAACCTTCTGCATAGGTGTCTTCCTCACCCTGCCTGGACTCTGACACCTGTATTTTGAGCCCTATCCATGTGAATCCTTCCTTTCACCCCTTCCTCTGGGACACCCACACTGAGCCAATAGTACTACCAACCACTCCCATGTGGGGACACCCTCCTTACCCCACTCTTGTTCCAACACCCCATACAGGGTTTCGACCTTTACTTTTCTGCATGCTTCTCTTTTCACCCTGCTTGGAACTTGCTGTCATAAACCAAGCCATTGAGAACTATGTTCTCTTAGAAACTTGAAGAAATTTGGTGATGGTAAAATATGCAGGTTTGGGGAACACAGTAGATCCAACATTATAAATGAGAACTTGGTCTGAGAAGACATCCACGTCTGAAGGAAATAGCTCATGTTGAGAGGGATGTGAAAGCACAAGCAATAATCTGAGGCATTCAGGGAACATGTGACATGGACATGTGTAAAAGCAAGCGGAGGTAGGAAGGTAACTGATACTTTTCAGATGGGGAGGGAGAAAATCCCTGACCTTGGTTGGCCTGATGGAAGTACTGGAGCTGAGCATTCATAAACAGAGGAAGACCGATTGCTTAGCTTGAGATGGCAGGTTAGCAAGGACACACACCTAGTGTCTAGCCTTTCCTTACAAATCATGACCCTCTATTTTTTTATTGCTTTTCTATCTCATGGTATCTCCGGATAGTAGGGCTGATAATTTATCACACTAAGGGCATCAAGAATGAGAGCAAAAAAGAAGATCTCTGGCCTCAATAATGTGCATGAGTACCAAATGCAAGACGATTGTAATATTTGTTGCAGATTCTGGGGTTGCGCCATACCTGACAAGCCTGTCTTAGATAGAGATAGAAAGAGAAGCATGCCCTGAACCTTGAAGAAAGCAATAGAATACTCTGCTCACAGGGCAGTAGACTGATTCTGTCATATGCCCTCAGAGAGAAACGCCATCTCTGAAGGCAAAGCTGTGCTGCCCTGGTCTGGTCTGGGACACCTGGGAACACTGCACTTCTGCTGAGTTACTGAGATGAGCCAGCCCTGCAGCTGTACCCAGCCCTGCCCCAGCACCTGTGATTTGCATGTGCCCAGAGCACAGCCCCCTGCCCTGAAGACTTATTGATAGGCTGATCACATCCTGTGCAGGAGTCAGTCCCAGTCAGGACAAAGTATGGACATGAAGGCCCCTGCTCAGCTCCTGGGGCTCCCAGGTAAGGACGGAGAACACGTGGAATTTACTTAGCTCAGTGAGGTCAGTACTGCCTGGTTCTTTGGGGGAACTCCTCTTAAAACATGATTAATCATGTGGATATCTGTTTCCAATCTCAGGTGTCAGATGTGACATCCAGATGACCCAGTCTCCATCCTCCCTGTCTGCATCTTTAGGAGACACAGTCACCATCACTTGCCAGGCAAGTCAGAGCATTAGCAGTTGGTTAGCCTGGTATCAGCAGAAACCAGGGAAAGCCCCTAAGCTCCTGATCTATAAGGCATCTAGTTTGCAAAGTGGGATCTCCTCGAGGTTCAGTGGCAGTGGATCTGGGACAGATTTCACTCTCACCATCAGCAGCCTGGAGTCTGAAGATGTTGCAACTTATTACTGTCAACAGTACAGTAGTTACCCTCCCACAGTGTTATAAGCCCGAACATTAACCCCCAGGAAAGCAGAAGTGTGAGGCTGGGCTGCCCCAGCTGCTCCTCCTGGTGCCCTAATCTGCTGAGAGCATTTCTCAGATGCACACA